ACAGGCCGATCTTCAGCATCTAGAAACAAAGGTGTTGATGGCAGCAGCACAACTGCTGAAATTCTAAACTTTATTGCTTTGCTCATGATTGCATCCTTGATCTTTGCTCTCAGTCATACTTTGTTTTTTTCCATCCTGTAAGAAAAGCATCATTCTTATTAAACCTCTGTAGCGATTTAATACGATTCTGATAAATCAGGGCCAGAGCTTTTCAACACAGCTATCTTCCTGCTTCTAATGAAATCAAGATCAAATGTTAGCAGAGAGCTAACAAAAACTAACCTGTTAAAAATGTCTGTTTTAGTCCCATCAGCACTTTTTTATCCCTGAAATTACAGTTTCAGCATAACACATTTTTTTCAATTCAAAATGCCATCAACACTACTGTTACCACGGGCAACATGAACCACAGTACAAAGAAAGTGAAATGCCAAGAAAATAGTGTGAAGAAAATTGAAACTAAAACAACCTGAGGATAAAATGACAGCTAAAAACAAAAGGAAGTCGGTTATTTTTCCTTGTTTTTTTTCCGATTACTATTTGCTTTTTGAATTTTGCCCTGATGCGTCTCAGCAGGAGTCTCAGTGGGGGGCACAATAAACTCAAAGGCGACGCAGCACAGACACACACCGCCGAGGGAGGGGGTCTGCTGGATATACAGGGGAATGGATCCCTTCGGCCAGTTTAGCAGTAGGAAACAAGATCAGCTAGAGCTAGAGTTGTTAGAGGGAATAAATTAGGACCTTCAGCGTTCAGCAACTGGGTAGAACCACAAAAACGAGTTAAAAAAATCAACAAAACAATCCTCCAATGAGACTCATGATATTCACAGCCCTGCTGCTTTTCGCTTGAAACTTGGATTTATTTCAGTTTAAAATCCATCTGTCTCTCCCTGTAAAAAAACAGAACAAAACTCCCATGGTCCCTCTGAGGCTTTTAAAGGGGAAGGACGGTTTGGTCGCGTCGATGAAATATCCAGTTTCCACCTGACTAAAGAGAAATGACAGATGCCTGCCTTGTTCAGATCACGGGTCGTTTTACCTGCAGCACAGATTTCAGTAGAATCAGAAGCGCGTTCTGTGCAGAATCTGGAGGGAAAGTGTGATCGAATTTATACAAACTTATACTTTTATTCTTGTTCCACTTCCCTTTCAGGCTCCAAAGTAAAACCCTGCTATGTCTGAACCCCCTCCCTAGATTTACAGCCATTAGTGGATCAGCATCTAGTCCAGGGCTAACCAGTTAAAAATCACAGAAATAAAGAAACTTTTTTTTTTTTTTATTATTATTATCTGTTTCTTTAAATAGAATAAAATTAGGTTTTAATGCAGATTTGTTATATATTGAATTTGTTTTTTAAATATAAAAAAAAATAGAACGTTGTTCCATTTTAAAATCTTAAGTGTTTTTAAAGCAGATAACAACAATCGTTCAGTTTGGTTTATAGACAATTTCCTGATTCCCATATTTTCTCAAACCCCTGAACTGATCGTTTATTTTTCTTTTTTCTGTCTTAATGTTGGCAGTGGGCTTTAGGCTGCCCTGCAAGGCTTTAAACCTGGGTTTAACCGGAGACTAAGCCATTCTCAAGCACAGATCAAGGAGCTCATTTTGAGCCTGGATCCAGATTTCTTGTTGATTCTGTTCATGGTGGAGAATCCTGCTTCACAGCAGCAGGTTGAGCCAAACATCCTCTAAATGTGCAGGGTCATCTTTGAGCACGCCATTTCACTTTTCTTTCACCAGTTCACTGCAGTTCTTCCAGCAGTCCACACTTTCTCTGCTCTCTTCTTCTCATGGTCTTCTCCTTCTTTCCCATCGCCCGGCTTGCCACAGGTTTGCCTGCTGTGTCTAAAAGTAGCAGCAGCAGCAACCCAGACTGACAGCTCATTGGCTTATTTGGATCACGTGCAGCCTGGAGCCGGACGCTCCCCAGGGCTTTACCGTATTAACAGGAGAAGCGGCGCAAGTGAAGTTAGACACTGCCTTCGGACAACATGCAGTAATTTATAAATGTTTTAAATCAGGTTGGATCCGGATTAGTGGATCCGGACCGCAGTCCGTAAATCTGTGACCTCTGATCTAGACGATACCTGGTCTCCTCCTTTACCTAAATAGCAGAAAACGCTCCATGTTGAGTATCAAATTCTCAGTGCATTAACATGCAGAGGATGCCTGGTCTTGAAGTGATAAAGGATGTAGCTAACATTTTTCCATCAGGCCTGAATCCACCCGACCTGCTGATCAGACTCAGAATGGCTGTAGAAATAAAAGCATCCGAACCTCCAGCTTCTTGTTTTTCCTTGTCCAACATTTTGCTTTCTGTGTTGCTAAAGGAAATTACTGTAAAAACAAATCAATTACTTCAAAGAAAGAATTCAGTGTTTCTAATGCAGACTGCTGTTCGACACGGGGATGAATGTTTAATATTTATTGTTCTGCAAACAGTTCACTCAGAGCGGTAAAAAAAAACCACACTTTTATTCCTGTTAGCCAACTCCTGCGACAATAATATGGATATTTTTCTGAAATGAAGTAGTTTCAGTTTAGCAATGACTGAGATTGCAGCAGATTGCAGGGCCTGGTGATAACCTGTTTACTGACTTCTTCATAGATGTGCTGTGAGATGTTAGATGATCAATCTGTTCATCATCAAACTGCTGCAGGTCATTTATTTTTTATTTTTTTGCAATCCTGCTTAGCTCTTAAGCTTTGTCTAAAGATACCTGAATAGTACATTTAAAAAGACAGGTTGAAAGTATTTTAAAAAACAGCTAAAAAAAATAAAAATCACCTTTATTCAGCAGCTTGGAGGCTGTAAACCTTTTAATCCCAAATCATCTACAAAATATTTTACTCCTGCAGTTTAAACCTTAAATCACAAACATTAACACTTAATGTCTCAGATTGATTGTCTCAGACCTCAGACACAGGTCTGTGTGTGTATATATATATATATATATATATATATATATATATATATATATATATATATATATATATATATATATATATATATATATATATATATATATATATATATATATATATATATATATATATATATATATACAGGTGCTGGTCATAAAATTAGAATATCATGAAAAAGTAGATTGATTTCAGTAATTCCATTTAAAAAGTGAAACTTGTATATTATATTCATACATTACATACAAACTCATATATTTCAGATGTTTATTTTGTTTAATTTTGATGATTACAAATGACAACAAATGAAAATCTCAAATTCATCATATCAGAAAATTAGAATATTGTGAAAAGGTTCAAAATTGATGGCCCCTGGTGCCACACTCTAATCAGCTAATTAACTCAAACCACCTGCAAAAGCCTTTAAATGGTCTTTCAGTCTAGTTCTATAGGCTACACAATCATGGGGAAGACTGCTGACTTGACAGTTGTCCAAAAGACGACCATCGACACCTTGCACAAGGAGGGCCAGACACAAAAGGTCATCGCTAAAGAGGCTGGCTGTTCACAGAGCTCAGTGTCCAAGCACATTAATAGAGAGGCGAAGGGAAGGAAAAGATGTGGTCGAAAAAAGTGTACAAGCAAGAGAGATAACCGCACCCTGGAGAGGATTGTGAAACAAAACCCATTCAAAAATGTGGGGGAGATTCACAAAGAGTGGACTGCAGCTGGAGTGAGTGCTTCAAGAACCACCACACACAGACGTATGAAAGACATGGGTTTCTGCTGTCGCATTCCTTGTGTCAAGCCACTCTTGAACCACAGACAGCGTCAGAAGCGTCTTGCCTGGGCTAAAGAGAAACAGGACTGGACTGCTGGTGAGTGGTCCAAAGTCATGTTCTCTGATGAAAGTAAATTTTGCATTTCCTTTGGAAATCAAGGTCCCAGAGTCTGGAGGAAAAGAAGAGAGGCACTTCATCCACGTTGCTTGAAGTCCAGTGTAAAGTTTCCACAGTCAGTGATGGTTTGGGGTGCCATGTCATCTGCTGGTGTTGGTCCATTGTGTTTTCTGAGGTCCAGGGTCAACGCAGCCACATACCAGGAAGTTTTAGAGCACTTCATGCTTCCTGCAGCTGACCAACTTTTTGGAGATGCAGATTTCATTTTCCAACAGGACTTGGCACCTGCACACAGTGCCAAAGCTACCAGTACCTGGTTGAAGGACCATGGTATCCCTGTTCTTAATTGGCCAGCAAACTCTCCTGACCTTAACCCCATAGAAAATCTATGGGGTATTGTGAAGAAGAAGATGCAATACACCAGACCCAACAATTCAGAAGAGCTAAAAGCCACTATTAGAGCAACCTGGGCTATCATAACACCTGAGCAGTGCCACAGACTGATCGACTCCATGCCACGCCGCATTGCTGCAGTAATACAGGCCAAAGGAGGCCCAACTAAATACTGAGTGCTGTACATGCTCATACTTTTCATGTTCATACTTTTCAGTTGGCCAACATCTCTATAAATCCTTTGTTTTTATTGGTCTTCAGTAATATTCTAATTTTCTGATATGATGAATTTGAGATTTTCATTTGTTGTCATTTGTAATCATCAAAATTAAACAAAATAAACATCTGAAATATATGAGTTTGTATGTAATGTATGAATATAATATACAAGTTTCACTTTTTAAATGGAATTACTGAAATCAATCTACTTTTTCATGATATTCTAATTTTATGACCAGCACCTGTATATATATATATATATATATATATATATATATATATATATATATATACACACACACAATTTCTGGGTTGACTAACTGTTGATGATAAAGTGAAAATGAAAATACTCAAACATTCTTTATCTAAGAATTATTCTCAGCTTCCCAGCATTTCTTTAACATCAGTTTTTTTTTCCAACCATAAATGCTTTTAAACAGGGAAAAAAGGCTTTGATTAAAGGATAATCACTTCATATAATCATTGGGGGGGGGGGGACATAACGTCACAGCATCTATTCAGGTTTCATTAACTTGCTCGTTGTGTTTTTGTGTTAACCAGGTGCTGGGCAGTGCTTGAGATCGTCCCTCAGACGTCTTTACCAGAAAAGAGGACGGCCCCGCCCACTTCAGCTCAGCCCACCTCCACCCCCCCTCTGCTCTTCTCCAACATCTCATTGGAGCAGTAAGTGTTTACTTCATGTGAAATAACATGTGTGGGCTGAGTGTTTGAGAATCCTTAAAAAGAAGATCAATATAAATCCATGCTGAGTTTTATTATGCTCTATAACAGGGGTCTCAAACTGGTTCCAGAAAGGGCCGTGAGGCTGCAGGTGTTCTTTCCAACCAAGCAATAGCAGACCAGACTCCAGTCATCTCATCAAGTGAGTCCAGTCTTAACATGATGACTTGATGAGATGACTGGAGTCTGGTGTGCTATTGCTTGGTTGGAAAGAACACCTGCAGCCTCACGGCCCTTTCTGGAACCAGTTTGAGACCCCTGCTCTATATCTATGGAAATGATGGATATCTAACGTTCAGCTCTCACAGTGGAGAATGTTTGAAAACTGGAATCACTTCACCTTTTGGTGCTTTTATCGCTGTTGGTCCGTTTGGTGTTTAGCGCCTGATCTTATCGTAAACACAAACCTGCATGCAGGGCCGGTTGTAGCCCTTTGGTTGCCCTAGGCGAGATTGAGTTTTGCGCCCCCCACCCTCACTTTTGCCGTGTGAAATACCAGTACTGTTTTCAGCATCTGTTTAGTGCTTCATTGAGTTGTGTTTACAGTTCCACAAAGAGTGCTGTGCGGTGAATTGTGCCTACAGTTGTGCAAAGTGTGTGTTACAAAATTGCAAATTGAGTGCAAAGCAGTGTTTGTTCTTTTAGTTTTGTGAACTCAGTGAGTGGATTTGCTATAAGTATTAATAGTTTTAGAAATTGTGCTATAAGAATCAAGGTTGTGTTTAAGCATTCAGAAAAAACTGTAACTTAGCATGGAGTGATGCATAGACAAATACCAGAATAGGTTTCAGTACCTTTTCTTTTTTATTATTTTAAATAATTTATTACACACTCAAAGTTAGGACTGTGCAAAAACACTTTTAACCATCTGTAAGGACACTTAGGTAAAGTATAACTAAAAAACTGGATTGAATCAATGAATGAATTTATTTCAGACAATTAACAAATTTAACACACATTAAACAAATATTAAATAAATCAATTTCAGAAATTACCAAATAACAATAAAAAATAATATATTTAAGAAATTCTTCAACCAAGGATTACATAAAAAAGTAATTGATAAACATTAAATTAAATTTTCTTTTCCAGTTCAATTAAATCATTTGAACATAAATAGAAATGAGATAAACAAAATGTTCCTCTAAATAAAATATATCAGGTATATTTATCCTGATTTCTGACATTGATTAGTGATTAAAGAAAGGATTAACCCTCTACAAACAAAAGTGCTTTTATGAATACCATTACAAAATTAAAAGTTTGAAGTTCTTGTAGTTCTATCTATCAGTTGTTTCAGGTATTTCTATTCACCTTCAAAATTGATGCAGCATTAAAATTTGACTCGTCTGGACTTCCTAATGGCAAATTCGTTGATGGTATCATCAAATGAGATTTTATTTGAGAAAAAATGAAGTCAACATACAAAAAAAATGTTTGAACTGTTAAAAGAAAAAAACTTGTCCTACCATTCATCTAATCTCCCGACGTCCAATCTCCACTCATTGTCCGACTCGCTGTTGTTCGTCCGCTGCCTTCTCTTCATCTGAAACATCTGGGTCGAACATGTGAGGCTCCAGACACAAATATTCTTCCTCCGATACATCAGAATGATCTCCTGGTAGGAATCGCTCGGTTGAAGTCGAAATTTTGCTTTCAAATTTCTCGTTTTGGCTATCGCATTTAGTGCAGTAGACCGCCATGAACGCTCCCGTTCTGACGTCACGACTTCCGGGTTGGAGGGCGCTTGAAAAGTGATCAGAATCTTTTCCGGTTTTCTCTTAAATGTGAAAAAATAAATAAAAAAACGTTGGTATATTTATTTGTTCATATTTTGCTATTTATATATACGTAACTGACGGACGCTTCATAACCGGTTTAATTCGCTTTTTTTTCAAATTCTATGATTAATGGGAAGTAAGCCTAAGGGCGACGCTAGAGGGCGCCCCCAACACATTTGTCGCCCTAGGCAATTGCCTAGCTGGCCTATAGCAATCGCCGGCCCTGCCAGTAGGTGGCGGTAATGCACCCCCCCCCCCCCCCCCGGACGTTGCTTGGCAACCAACACAAAACAGAAGAAGAAGAACAACTATAAAGAACAATCGAAATCTTTTCCACGCAACATTTTAAATAATAACACAAGCAATAATAATCAAGCATAACTTTCTGAATGTGACGGGCGCCGCCATTTTGATTTGCTTGATTCCCTCCTTCTTCGTCTTCTTCTTCTTGTGTTTTATGGCGGTTGGCAAACAACTTTTGGTTCATTACCGCCACCAACTGCTTGATTTCCTCCATCAATACTGGCTGTAATACCGCAGATCGTCACTAGGAGGCGAGGAGTCGAGGAACCGAGATAGCGTGATGTGTAAATGGTCATCAGAACCGTTAACCGATGGTTAACCGATCCGAGCTCGGACCGGTCTCGGCATAAATCGGTTTTTCAAGGGTAGTGTAAATGGGGTAATAGAAAAAGAAGCATAGATACAAAAGGCAACCAGCTCCACAGGCGGCCCCGTCCAGGAAACACACAGCCAGGCAGACGAGCTCTGAGCCAGCCCTTTTATTGCAATCTTCTGCTGAGATCCTCTCTGCTGCCTCAAAGGTCGAGTTCTGCCTCATTCGATTCCAGCTTTACTTAGCTTTCAGGATAGTCATGATTCTCTTTGAATAAACTGTGCACCCTTTATGTACTGGTTCTGATCCAAGGTTCCCCGTTTGTTGAACAGCATCAAACTGAAGCAGAAGTCATAGCGTCATATGGATTCATCAAAGTGGGTTTGCTGTTACTGGATGTCTAACTTTCTGACTCCAAACAACCCTTCTAGTAGAGTTTCCTGATAGGATAAGCAGGAAAATTGAGGCTGACAGTTCATTCGTCCAGCATAGGATCCACTTACTCTTTTCAGCTTGATTTTAAAATGACTCTGGGAGACCGAGAGACAGTGTGGAGCAGAATCCGAGGCTAGAGAAGCAGCCACTCTTATAAGGTGGAATAACGCTCTGCTTTCGGAGCAGATTGCTGTAGCTTTATATTGTCAACATAGCCATGAAAGGCAGCAGCAGATTTCCATTTGCGGTTCTGACTCAGGATGATGCTGTTTCGCTGATGGCTTGGGGTGACAGTGACGATACATCAGCAGAAAATTGTCTGAATGTGTGCAATTAACAGCTCTTGTGCAGAATATGTAATTATTTGGATTGTAACGGCTCCTTGGCTCGGGACTTTCCTTTCCTATTAAAGCCTCCTTTATTACACTGATTTGCAGGAAGAAAAAGGTTTCATTCTGATTGCTGGGCATGAATTTTTATTCCTGTTATTTCTCCCTGCTTCCCATCACTGTTCATTGTTCATATTTGAAAAAACCTAGTGCTGTGACCCATATGGCTCAGACACCTTCGATGAAATGTCCTTTTTCCCTCCCTGCCTGGTGCAGTTTTAGTTAAACAACATTGCCCTCTAGTGGATTTCTGTAATTCCCTAAAAAACATCTGTTCAGAGCACATGGTTGTTTATTCCTCCACAAATCCCATCCTTAACCTTGCTTCACCTCATCTGTTGAGACTTTTGAAGCAGTTATGAGCTTTTAACACTGTTCAGGTGTGAAAGGAGTGGTATTAGCAATGATGAAGGAGAGCGCAGGGAACTGTGCAGCTGTCTACGTTGCATCAGAATCAGCAGTTAATATTTAGGTTTGTTGCAGTTTTTTATGAGGATGGTTGAAGGTTATTGTGTTTCTTATCTGTGCTATTTTAAGCTGTTCCAGGCAATGATTTTAAATTAGTTTAGGGTTTTTTAAGATGTCCAAGTAGGGGAATAATAATTATGTCTAAAGGTTTGACTCATGCTGGCATTTAAAATGATTTAGAATAACTCTGTTATATTCGTGCATCTCTGTTAATTTTTCACGAATGTCTTTGACCAAAAACTCTCAAACATTAGAGCCTGTTTGCATCGGTTGTTGTTGTTCCTGCCACAGATCTTCAGCTCATAGATTGGTCAGAGTTTGACTGCTTCCCAAACCAATCATCTGATGGGCTTTAAAGGACTTAGATAAACCATCAGAAATCAACCAGGAGAATATGGAGTCCATTTTGTTTTGTAAATGGAAATGCAATGTATCAGTGAAAAGGGGTTTTAAAAATATTTCAAATTTCTCTTTTGTAGATAGAATTTTAGAATTATAATCTCTTTAACTTCACAAACCAATACAAATGTGTTTCTTTCTCCAGAGGAAAAAAAGCCCAACTCCACTGCAAAAATGATCTAGAAATAAGTAAAAATTTCTTAAATTAAGTGTATTTACCCTTGATTTTAGTAGGTAAATGAGATAGTTTGCCAATGCAATCAGTATTTTTACTCTTAAAATAAGATAATTAGATAGTATTCACTTGAAATAAGAGAATGCAATAGTGTTTTCTTATTTTAAATCTAAATTGTCTTGTTCCATTGGCAAAATGTCTCTTTTATCTCCTCAATTCAAAAACAAATGCACTTATTTTAAGAAAAAATGACTTATCAAGATTTAGATTTTTTTGCAGTGGACTGAACATGAGGAATTAAAAAATCATAATAAAAAAACAAAATAGAAAAAAATAGAATCTGAAAAAAATAAAAACAAAAAGCATTGCCATAAAATCTGAAAAAATACTAAATGTATCCATAAAATCTGTCTTTTAAAACATTTCCAAACTTTAATTTCTCTTTTCACATTTCTGTTTACAAAATGTGTTTTTTTTTTTGCTTGTATCAATAATGGAGATGTAAAGCAGCCCTATGAGCTGCAGGTGATGGTGCCGCTGGGAGGACAAACAAAGCAGACTAACTCTGAGCAGCTGTATAATAAAGGAGGTTTTCATGTTCGCTGGAGGTTGAGCTCCTTGAAGTGAATGATGCAATCAGTGGATCTGAAAATGAAGCTGTTCCGTTTTGGAGTGAGGGGCTCTGAGAGGAAATCTTCTGTGATTTAGTGCTTGATAAATAAACAGAGTAGAAATCAATGCCTGTGTGTCTGGGATAAAGTAAGATTACTGAACGTTAAGGACTACAGTGCAATGCAGATTTAGATCTGAGTTTTTAATTGCTTTTCTCTCGTTTTAATTGTCTGGTTTGTTTCAGGTGAAGAAAATAAAAATGTAATGAAGCAGAGGATTTGGAATGCAACCCAATAATTAAATGACCCTAATGGGTCCTGTTATACGGAGCTCCAGCTGCTCCATATTACATTAAAGAAATGTAAGCCCCATATATAGAGTGGTAATACAGCAGCAGTCATTTAAAATGGCCCCTCCCAGTCAAATGCCAGCCGAATGGCAGCACACCTCCCTGCAACTCCCAGCAAAATCCCCTCCAACTTCCAGCCAATGGGGGTGCATATTCAATTCAATTTCAATTCAGTTTATTTATATAGCGCCAAATTCACAACACATGTCATCTCAAGGCACTTTACAGTTCAACCAGATCATCCAGTCAAATTGATACAAAGTTTTCTATCTAAGGAAAACCAGTTGATTGCATTGACTCATTGACTCAAATACAATCCCCCACACTAAGCATGCTTGTAGCGACAGTGGAGAGGAAAAACTCCCTTTGAACAGGAAGAAACCTCCAGCAGAACCAGGCTCAGTGTGAGCGGCCATCTGCCGAGGCCGACTGGGGTTCAAGGAGACAGAAGCAGAGATACAAAAAGCAGCTGTAAAAGGCGGCCCCGTCCAGGAAACACACAGCCAGGCAGACGAGCTCCAAGGCAGCTCCCATGCCAGAGGACGAAGAGAGCACATCCACTCAGTCACGGTCAGAGAAACAGGACCACACTGGAAAACAGGCCGATCTCCAACATCTATTAACAAGGGTGTTGATAGAAGCAGCACAGCTGATGTTTTTTTTTCCAGGATGACGTCACAGCCAAACAGGAACAGACGAGGCAAAGCTACTCTGAGGAAAAGCAGAGAGAGCAGAAGGTTAGAGATTGAACTAACAGATTCTGCAGAATAGGAGAACAGAGAGAGAATGAAGCAGAATGATGAAATGGGGGTCCCTATGTCCTCCAAAAGTCTAAGCCTATAGCAGCATAACTATAGAGATAGCTCAGGATAACCTGAGCCACCCTAACTATAAGCTTTATCAAAAATGAAAGTTTTAAGCCTAGCCTTAAAAGTAGACAGGGTGTCTGCCTCACGGACTAAAACTGGTAGTTGGTTCCACAGGAGAGGAGCCTGAGAACTAAAAGACCTGCCTCCCATTCTACTTTTAGAAATTCTAGGAACCACTAGTAAACCTGCAGATTGAGAGCGAAGTGCTCTGTTAGGAACATAAGGAACAATCAGATCTCTGATATAAGATGGAGCTTGGCCATTTAAGGCTTTATATGTGAGAAGGAGGATTTTAAATTCTATTCTTGATTTAACAGGAAGCCAATGAAGAGAAGCCAGGATAGGCGAGATATGATCTCTCTTTTTCATTTTCATCAGAACTCTGGCTGCAGCATTTTGGATCAGCTGAAGGCTTTTAACTACAGTTTGTGGACTTCCTGATAGTAAAGAATTACAATAGTCCAGCCTTGAAGTAACAAATGCATGGACTAGTTTCTCAGCATCACCCCTGGACAGGATATTTCTAATTTTTGCAATGTTCCTCAGATGAAAGAAGGAAATTCTAGAAACCTCCTTGATATGGGACCTAAATGACAGGTCCTGATCAAAAATAACACCAAGATTTTTTACTTTATTATCTGAAATCAGTTTAATCCCATCCAAATGAAGTGACTGGCTAATCAGTTTCTTTTCCAGAGACTCGGGTCCAAAGACTATAACTTCTGTTTTGTCTGCATTCAGAAGCAGAAAATTAAGAGTCATCCAGGTTTTTATGTCTTCAAGACATGCCTGTAATCTATGTAATGGGTTAGCTTCATCTGGATTATAGACAGATATAGCTGGGTATCATCAGCATAACAGTGGAAATTAATCCCATGCTGTCTAATAATTCTACCAATTGGGAGCATGTATAAAGTAAAGAGAATTGGTCCTAGCGCACTGATCCCTGTGGTACTCCACAGGTAACCTTTGAGCGTGTTGAAGATCTATCATTAACATGAACAAACTGAATTCGATCAGATAGATAAGATTTAAACCAGTCTAGTGCTGTTCCTTTAATTCCAACAAAATATTCAAGTCTTTCTAAAAGAATATTATGGTCAACTGTATCAAATGCAGCACTAAGATCCAACAGGACGAGCACAGATACAAGTCCATTATCTGAGGCCATGAGAATATCATTAGTGACTTTCACCAGAGCTGTTTCAGTGCTATGATGAGCTCTAAAGCCAGACTGAAACTCTTCAAAAAGTTCATTATGGTGGAAGTGATCGCAAACTTGTTTGGCAACTACTTTCTCAAGAATTTTGGATAAGAAAGGAAGATTGGATATAGGTCTATAATTGACCAAGTCATCTGGGTCAAGAGACGGTTTCTTAAGCAGAGGTTTAATTACAGCAATCTTAAAAGCTTTAGGTACATATCCCTGTAACAGAGATAGATTAATCACATCTAAAATGGAGGAGGAGATCAAAGGGAATACCTCCTTAAATAACCTGGTTGGAACTGGATCTAACATACAAGTTGAAGGCTTAGATGAAGACAATAATTTTGCTAATTCAGAGAGTTCAACTGGATCAAAGCAGTCTAAACCCGGTTCAGATTCCATGACTACCTCAGGTACAATCGCGGATAGAGGAGTGCTTATGATCTTATTTTTAATAAGATCAATCTTATTTATAAAGAATCCCATAAAATCATTGCTGCTAAGAGCAGGTGGAATGGACGGTTCAACAGAGCTATGGCTCTGGGTGAGTTTGGCAACTGTATTAAAAAGAAATCTAGGATTATTCTTATTCTCCTCTATTAATGAGGAGAAGTATGCTGCTCTTGCTTTACAAAGGGTCCTCTTATACAGCAGTAAACCATTTTTCCAGACTAGGAAGGACTCTCGCAGGCCTGTGGAGCGATATTTTCTCTCCAGTTTCCTAGCATTTTGCTTCAAAGTACGCAGCTCTGCATTAAACCAAGGAGCAAGCTTTCTATTTTTAACGGTTTTCATTTTCAAAGGAGCTGCGTTGTCTAAGGCAATACGCAGAGAACTAGCAACCCCCTCAACAAAATCATCAACCTGTGAAGGGGAATAAGCTAAGCTTTTGCACTCTGCAGCACTGCTCAGTGACACAGAGCAGAGAGAAAGTGAAGCAGATTCTTTAAAATTTATAACTGCACTATCTGATAAAGATCTACTAAAATTGAACCTTCTTTTGGGGGAGGAGAACTCTGTTAAAGTAATCCTGAAGGTTATTAGAAAGTGGTCAGAGAGGACAGGGTTGTGAGGAAATACTGTTATTTCTTCACATTCTATGCCGTATGTCAGCACAAGATCCAAAGTATGAAGATGAGAATGCGTGGGACCACTCTCACTCTGAACAAAGCCAATAGTGTCTAAGATAGCATTAAAGGCTGCTCTTAAGCTATCGCCTTCAATGTCAGCATGGATGTTAAAATCTCCCAATATGATGACCCTGTCAGTATTTAATACCAAATCAGAAAGGAACTCTGAAAACTCATCTAAAAATTCAGAGTAAGGACCTGGTGGACGATACAAAGTTACAAAAAGAAGAGGTTTTCTTGCCTTGAAATTTGGATCAGGGAAATTAAGGGTTAAATGTTCAAAAGAGTTGTAGGTATTAATTGTTTTGGGAGTAATCAGTAAGTCAGACTCGAAGATTGTTGCTACTCCTCCTCCTCGCCCAGAACTTCTGGGGATGTGAAAATTTAAATAGCTTGAAGGAGTTGCCTCATTTATGCTCACATAATCCTCTTTCTGCAGCCAGGTTTCTGTAAGGCAAAACAAGTCAATGTGATTATCACAAATCAAGTCATTAACTAGTAGACTTTTAGAGGAAAGCGATCTTATGTTAAACAGACCGCATTTATTTGTTTTAACTTTTTCCCCAATTGGAGTTATTTTGATTTTAATTAGATTATCATGATTTACTCCTTTGGGAATCTTTGCTAATTTATTAGATTTTGGTCGTGGGCAAGACACTGTCTGGATGGAGTAAAGAGTGGGTAACAGTAGAGAAGCTGCAGAGATGTGTGTTAAACTACAACTCTGCTTCCTGGTCTGCACCCTGGGTGGTCAGGGTTTTGGAGGACTAATAAATGTGGCCAGATTCCTAGAAAGAAGAGCTGCACCATCCAAAGTGGGATGGATGCCGTCTCTCCGAATCAGACCAGGCTTTCCCCAAAAGGATTGCCAATTATTAATGTAGCCCACGTTGTTTCCCGGGCACCACCTAGACAACCAGCGATTGAATGACGACATGCGGCTAAACATGTCATCACTGGTCAGATCAGGGAGGGGACCAGAGAAAATTACGGAGTCCGACATTTTTTTGGCAAACTTACAAGCAACACTAATTTTAGTGACCTCCGATCGGCGTAACCGGGTGTCATTACCACCAGCGTGAATAACAATCTTACTGTATTTAACCTTATCCTTAGCCAGTAGTTTCAGGTAGGATTTGATGTCGCCCGTTCTGGCCCCCGGCAAACATTTGACTATGGTCCCTGGTGTCTCTAATGCCACGTTTCTGACTATGGAGCTGCCAATCACCAGAGTGGGCTTCTCAGTGGGTGTGTCACTGAGTGGGGAAAACCGGTTAGAAACGTGAACGGGTTGGTGGTGACCAGTGGGCAGAGATCCACGACTACGCTTTCTGCGTACAGTTACCCAATCGCCTGGCTGCTCAGGCACTTTTGGAGGACAGCTACGTGGGGGGCCTACTTCAACAGCCTGAAGCCTGGATTCTAACTCTGACACCCTCGCCTCCAAAGCTACAAAAATACTACACTTATTACACATCCCATTATCACTAAAGGAGGCAGAGGAATAACTGAACATCTGACACAGAGAGCAGGAGAGAGGAGAGGAAGAAGGAAGAGTTGGAAAAGAGTCAAGGGAGGGAGAGAGAAGCCATAGCAATGCTAAGCTAGCGCTAGCCTAGGCTAGCTACTTCTTGCTATCAGAAATAAAACCGTGTGAAACTGACAAGTGCTCAGTAGAAAAGTGCAGCAGAAGGTGCTATGTTTTAAAGTAGTCAGTTAGAGTTACTTAGATACAGAGATATCACAGAAAAAATAACTTAACTTCAGATGGAGATCCTCTGAACAGCTGCACACTCAGTTGCACACTCAGTTAATCCAAACAGGAAGTGAGAATATTCCACCCTTTCACTGAATTACAGGGTCTGACCAGGAGATGGCGCTTCTCTTTAGATCTTAATGTTCACAAATCATGACAGAAAGAACCAACCAAGGACCAACCAAGGACCAACCAAGGACCAGCCAAGGACCAGCCAAGGACCAGCCAAGAACCAAGTAAGGGCAATTCAATGACCAGCCAAGGACAAGCCAAGGACCAGCCAAGGACCAGCCAAGGACCAGCCAAGGACCAGCCAAGGACCATTCAAAGACTAGCCAAGGACCATTCAATGACCAATAAAGAACCATTCAAAGACTAGCCAAGGACTATTCCCGGACCAGCCAAGGACTATTTAAGGACCAGCCAAGAGCCAGTAAAGAGCGATGCAAGGAACAACCAATGGCCATTCAAGGACAATCAAAGGACAAGCCAAGGACCAGCCGAGGACCATTCAAAGACAAATAAAGAACCATTCAAAGACCATCCAAGCACTAGTCAAGGACCAACCAAGAGCCAGCCAAGGGCGATGCAAGGAACAACCAATGGCCTTTCAAGGACCATCAAAGGACCAGCCAAGGGCCAGCCAATGACCATTCAAGGACCAGCCAAGGACCAACCAAAGGTAAGCCAAGGACGAGCCAAGGACCAGTCAAGAACCATGCAAAGGCCATTCAATGACCAGCCAAGGACCATTTAAGAACCAGCCATGAACTATGCAAATGCCATTCAAGGACCATTCAAGGACCAGCCAAGGACAAGCCAAGAGCAATACAAAGAACAGCCAAGGATGGCTGAAGGACCAGCCAAGGATGATTAAAGAACTAGCCAAGGACAATTAAAGGACTAGCCAAGGACCAGGCAAGAACCAGCCAAGGACAAAACAAGAGCCATTCAAGGACCAGCCAAGAACCAGCCAGGGACCATTCAAGGCCAGCCAAAGACCAGCCAAGGACCTACCAATGACCATTTAAGGACCAGCCAAAAACCAAGAAAGGGCTATTCAAGGACCAGCCAGCAACCAGCCAAGGACCATTCAAGGACCAATAAAACGCCAGCCAAGGACCAGTCAAAGACCATTCAAAGACCAGCAAAGGACCATTCAATGACCAGCCAAGGACCAAGCAAGGTCTATTTAATGACCAGCCAGCAACCAGCCAAGGACCATTCAAGGACCAGCCAAGGACCAACCAAAGGCCAGCCAAGGATCAGCTAAGGACCATTCAATGACCAGCCAAGTACCAAGCAAGGTCTATTTAATGACCAGCCTAGGACCAGCCAACGACCATTCAAGGACCAGCCAAGGACCAACCAAAGGCCCGCCAAGGATCAGCTAAGGACCATTCAATGACCAGCCAAGTACCAAGCAAGGTCTATTTAATGACCAGCCTAGGACCAGCCAATGACCATTCAAGGACCAGCCAAGGACCAACCAAAGGCCAGCCAAGGATCAGCTAAGGAAAAGTCAAAGACCAGCTAAGGACCAGCCAAGGACCATTTAAGAACCAGCCAAGAACTACGCAAATGCCATTCAAGGACCATTCAAGCCAGCCAAGGACAAGCCAAGTGCAACGCAAGGAACAGCCATGGACGGCTGAAGGACCAGCCAAGGATGATTAAAGAACTAGCCAAGGAAAATTCAAGGACCAGCCAAGAAACAAGCAGGGGCCATTCAAGGACCAGCCAAGGACAATTTAAGAACCAGGTGGTTCTTGACCATTGAACAACTAGCCAAGGACAAATAAAGAACCATTCAAAGACCAGCCAAGGACTATTCAAGGACCAACCAAGAGCCAGCCAAGGGCGATGCAAGGAACAACCAATGGCCATTCAAGGACCATCAAAGGACCAGCCAAGGGCCAGCCAATGACCATTCAAGGACCAGCCAAGGACCAGCCAAAGGTAAGCCAAGGACGAGCCAATGATCATTCAAAGACCAGCCAAGGGCCAGCCAAGGACCATTCAAGGACCAGTCAAGAACCATGCAAAGGCCATTCAATGACCAGCCAAGGACCATTTAAGCACCCGCCAAAACTACGCAAATGCCAGCCAAGGAATGGCCAAGAACTAGTCAAGGATAATTAAAGAACCAGTCAAAGACCAGCCAAGGACCATTCAAGGACCAACCAAGGGCCATTCAATGACCAGCCAAGGACAAGCCAAGAATCAAGAAAGGGCCATTCAATGACCAGCCAAGGACCAGCCAAGAACCAGCCAAGGACCAGCCAATGACTATTCAAGGACCAGCCATGGGCAAGCCAAGCACCATTGAAGAACCAGCCAAGAACCAAGCAAGCATCAAGGACCAGCCAAGGGCCAGCCAAGGACCATTCAAGGACCAGTCAAGAAACATGCAAAGGCTATTCAAGGAACGCCAAGGAACAGCCAAGAACCAGTCAAGGACAATTGAAGGACCAGCAAAAGACCAGCCAAGGGGCATTCAAGGACCAACCAAGGACCAGCCAAGGACCAGCTAAGGACCACTGAATGACCATTCAAGGACCAGCCAAAGACCATTGGAAGACTAGCCAAGGACCATTCAAGGACCAATAAAGAACCATTCAAAGACCAGCCAAGGACTATTCCCGGACCAGCCAAGGACTATTCAAGGACCAGCCAAGAGCCAGCCAAGGGCAAAGCAAGGAACAACCAATGGCCATTCAAGGAGCAGCCAAGGACCATCCAAGGGCCAGCCAAGGACCAAATAAGGACCAATCAAGGAACCTTCAAGGACCATTCAAATACCAGCCAAGGACCTGCCAATGACCATTTAAGAACCACCCAAGAACCATTCAAGGACCAGCTAAGGACCATTCAAGAACCATCTTAGGACCATTCAAGACCAGACAAAAACCAACCAGGAGCAGTCAAGGACCATTAAAGGACCTGCTAAGGACCATTCAAGAACCAGCTTAGGACCATTCAAGACCAGACAAAAACCAACCAGGAGCAGTCAAGGACCATTTAAGGACCAGCTAAGGACCATTTAAGAACCAGCTTCGTAGCATTCAAGACAAGCCAAGGACCATTCATGGACAAACAAAGAACCAACCAAGGGCCTTTCAAATACAAGCCAAGGATCAACCAAGGACCAGCCACGGACACAAAGAACCAGCCAAGGACTGGCCAAGGACCATTCAAGGACAAGCGACAAGCACAGAACCAGCCAAGGACCATTCAAGTACAAGCCAAGGATCAACCAAGGCCCAGCCAAGAATCAACCAAGGACAGCCAGAGGACCATTCAAGCACCAGCCAAGGATCATTCAAGAACATGGCAAGGACCATTCAAGGACCACACAAGGGCCAGCAAAAAAAAACATTCAATTACAAGCCAAGGACCAGCCATGAACAAACCAAGGACCATTCAAGGAAAAGCCAAGGGTCAGGCAAGGGCCAATCAAGGGCCAGCCAAGGATCAGCCAAGACAAACCAAGGACTACACAAAGGTCAGGCAAGGACCATTTAAGGACCAGTCCAGGACCAGTCAAAACCATCCAAGGACCAACCAAAGACAATTCAAGTGCCAGCCAAGGACCATTTAAGGACCATCCAAGAACAAAGCAAGGGCCATTCAAGGACTAGCCAAAGACCAGCCAAAATCAGCCAATGACCATTCAGGGGCCAGCCAAGAACCAGCCAAGGACCATTCAAGGACCAGTCAAGGGCCAGCTAAGGACCATTCAAGGACCAGCCAAATACCAACCAGGAGCAGTCAAGGACCAACCAATGACCATTCAAGGACCAGCCAAATACCAACCAGGAGCAGTCAAGGACCAGCCAATGACCATTCAAGGACCAGCCAAATACCAACCAGGAGCAGTCAAGGACCAGCCAATGACCATTCAAGGACCAGCCAAATACCAACCAGGAGCAGTCAAGGACCAGCCAATGACCATTCAAGAACCA